TCCCCTGTCCATGGGATTTTCCAGGCAAGAATACTGGAGTGGGTTGCCATTTCCTCCTCCAGGGGATCTTCCCGACCCAGGGATTGAACCTGTGGCTCCTGCATCGGCAGGCACATTCTTTACCACTGAGCCACCTGGGAAGCCCCAACAGGGCAGCAGCCTTAGACAATGTGTAAACAAATGAGCGTGGCTCTGTCCCAATAGCATTTCATTTAGGGAAACAGGTAGAAGGCAGGATCTGGCCTTTGGGCTGTGGTCTGCAACCCCGGTGCTAGGCTAACACAACAGGGCCTCTGGATGCCCAGGTTCAGGGAGACCTCAATGACTAATTGCTGATGTTCTGTGGTGTGTGCATGTGTCGGGAGTGTTTGGAAGAAGGAGACCCTCTCTTTCCAGAACCACCATGGCCCTCCCAATGTTCAGAAGGATCCAGAATGGCTATGTTTTGGTGGTACTTCCTCAGATTCTGCCAGGGGCTTGGCCAGTCCCTGTAACTCTGTAGCCTCCACTGAGCTCCTGGCTATAAACATGAGTTATTCCCACTCTCAGGGCTGAGAGAGAGGGGAAATAAAGGCCAGGATTGATGGAATCTCAGACATAAAATCTGGCACCATAATGCCTACATTTTGGAAATTGCTTTTAATTAATGGTTTATGGCCACAAAGATTCCCTCCCCCAACCCTTCATCCTTCTGTAGCATCTTCTCCCTGGTGGTCAGTCCTGGTGATGGGAACAGGGAGGGGGGTGAAAGAGGAGGGCTGGTGAATAGCTGGTTTCTCAGAAACCAAAATGTGTGGTTTTGCTTATATGAACCCAGCTTGGCCTCTGGCATTCCTCGAGCCTGAACTCCATAAATAATGTGAATTGAAAAGCCAGCTCCCTGCACAGGCCTGAGGCCTGTTAGCTACAGAATCACCAACACACACTCACAAAAACACATCAAGCTCAGGAAAACACACACTCACAAGTGTGTACACACACATACACACACACACACACACACACCCCGGAAATTTGCTTTTTTATTTTTTGGTCCACTTATCAGTCTCTCCTTCTTCCTGTTTCTCTTGCTGTCTTTGTGTTCCGTGGCACTATTTCTTTCCTGAAGTTCTGCTCTTTGAGTCTCTCTTCCGTTCTCTCTCCTGTCTTTCCCCTTCCCATGCCCTTTGATCTCCCCTACTTGGGGACACATAACCAAGCTACACAAACACACCCCCAGCTGCCCACCTCAGCACAGAATCCACAAACCCTCCCCTCCCATCACAGACAGCCCTGCCCCTCCCACCTGGACCAGGCTTGACTAACCAGGACAATGAACTTCTGCCCAAGTGCAAGAAGTGCAATTAGGTTCCCTCCCTAAGCACCTGAGCTGAACTCAAACCACATTTCATCCCAGGAATACAAGGGGATGGAGGCAACTCTGCCTAATTCCAGGTGTAGCCAAAAAAAAACAAAACACCTGCCCAAGCCCCAAGGGAGAAGCCCTTTATTACCAATAATAGCCACCTTGACTGAGTGTCTACTATGGCTTCATATTCAGAATTTATAATAGTCATGTTAACCTAAGAGGTAGATATTATTATTATTCCCATTTTATATGTGGGAAAACTGAGGGTCCAAGAGGTAAACGAATTTGCTTAAAACCAAAGTCTGTCCAACTCCAAAGCCTAGTCTCTTCCCGCATGCTCAATCGCTTCAGTCTTGTCTGACTTTTTGCAACCCTGTGGATTGTAGCCCCCCAGGCTCCTCAGTCCATGGGATTTCCCAGGCAAGAATACTGGAGTGGGTTGCCATGCCCTCCCCCAGGGGACCTTCTTGACCCAGAGATCGAACCCACATCTCCTCTGTCTCCTGCTTTGCAGGTGGATTCTTTACCCCTGAGCCACTGGGGAAGCCCCAGTCTCTTCCCACAGGGCTGGTCCAAATAGACAACATGGGCTGTGTCTTGGGATCTGGGATAACCAGTCTCAGCCACATAAGGTCTCTCATCTCCCCAGAAACATGTAACAGAGACATGACTCCAATACAGGAATAAGGCAGAGGTTCTCAGGTCTAGCCAACAGGAGGACACACTGTTTGGATGCCAGTGGCCAGCACCTGTACACCCAACCAGAAAGCCTTCCCTGCCAGTCAAACCTGTCCTTGGGGGCCCAGCTGGAGGGAAGGGAACACCTAGGCTGAGGCCCCTAGCCAGGCAGGGACTTGGAGCCTCCCAGGCAAGGCTGCAGAGGCAGTCACTGTTTCTGCATTCCCTGGCGCTATGGCAACAAGAGTGCTCAAATTGGTGACCCGCACCGAGTCTGTACCATCTGCTGTTTTCGGGGCTGGGGGTTGCAGGGTCACCTTCTGTCTGCCTGAGAAAGGAAATACAGTAATGTGGCAATGACCTCTCACCCTTGTCTATGCAGTGTAGAAAGGCCCCATCAGCCCCACTGTCACTGAGTCCCCAGAGCAGCCCAGGGGAGGAGGCAGGCAGCAGAGAGCAGCATCACAACAATGTGCAGAGATGGACACTGAGGCACGAGGCACCACCTCTGCCCACACTTCGTTAGGTCGTTCTGCCTGGCACCCTGCTGGACCAGCCTGGCATCTTCCAGGCCAGGTGGCTGTGGGCCCCGAAGGGCTCTGAGCTGGGCAGTTAGGTGTTGGGGAGAAGGGTTTCAGTAGAGCTGGGACGAGGGAGGTGGGTATGGTCACCAAGCTGCAGTTCCCCAAGAGTTGTCCAAGGCATTTCAGTGGAGGGAGGCAAGTGACTGGGGGAAGGGGCATTGTGACTTTAGAAAGTAAGGTCTTTAGCCTGTGGGGTTTTTTTTTCAATTTCAAAAGTAATATAGCCAATGCAGAAAACTTGGAAAACAGAAAAATATGCACACATTCTGGCACATTCACAAGTTCATGACACACACACACACACACACACACACACATGTTTACTCACAAATATCCATCATCCCTTTCCAGAGATAAAGACATTTAGCATTTAACCATCTAATACAATGTAATATATGGTATATGTGTATATATTATATAGACATAATTATTAGGATTCCCTGGTGGTTCAGACAGTAAAGAATCTGCCTGCCACGCAGGAGACCTGGGTTCAATCCCTGTGTACAGAAGATCCCCTGGAGAAGGGAATGGCAACCCACTCCAGTATTCTTGCCTGGAGAATTCCATGGACAGAGAAGCCTGGCAGGCTACAATCCACAGGGCTGCAAAAAGTTAGACACGACTCAGCGACTAACACATGTATTATATGTACGTTATATATATTATCATACATATTTTAACGTGGTTGGGATTATGTTGTACCTGCTATCTTGTACTGTGCTTTTCCATTTTGCAATAGATTGTGCACATTTTCTCATATAAAAAATATTCCCATAACAGGTTTTTCAATGAATTGCCTATATTCCAACATACAAATGAAGTATCATTCATTCAGATTAAACTTTCATCCATAACCATTTATACTGCTTTCTAGTTTTTAAATGTTTCTATATTTTTCATTATAAATTATATATGTTTATTATGGAATTTTAACGATACTTAGAGGTACAGATGCTGATGCTAAGTCACTTCAGTCGTGTCTGACTGTGCGACCCCATTGATGGCAGCCCACCAGGCTCCCCCGTCCCTGGGATTCTCCAGGCAAGAACACTGGAGTGGGTTGCCATTTCCTTCTCCAATGCGTGAAAGTGAAAAGTGAAAGTGAAGTTGCTCAGTCGTGTTGGACTTTTCGAGACCCTATGGACCGTAGCCCACCAGGCTTCTCCGTCCATGGGATTTTCCAGGCAAGAGTACTGGAGTGGGTTGCCATTGTTACAGGTACAGCAGGAGGGAAATAATCTCATACAAACTCAATAACTATAACACTTTTGTGCTTTTCACACCGATTGTTTTACTATGTGTCTGATTTGATGGCTATGTAATTTTTACCTTGTTATAATAGTTTATAATATACAATACAGGGTCCTTTCAAATCAGGCTTATTTTTTAATATATGTCATTTCTCACAGTATTGAGTTATCCATTTGGGTTTTCATTTAACCATGCTTTGGAAAAAGATTCTTTTCCCTGCTCTGTTGACTCCTCACCACCTGAACTTGGTATATTTATCAAGTGTTGATGCAGCTGACCATGGATTGAGGAATGGGGCTGCAAGATGCTGGTAGAAAGACATTTTTGCCTGTGAGGGCCACTCCAGAAACACATTTCACTGTGTACAGGAATAGAGCTGGTGCTCCATTTATCCTAAAAATATGAATCACCCAGTAGCCCAAAAATGACTGTCTCTGTGTTGGTTACAGTAGTAAAAAATGAGGGACAACCAGGCCCACCGACAGGAGGCAGGTGAAATAGATTATGGAGCATCCATTCCACGAATCCTGTGTGGTCAAAAGATATTACAGATCACTGCTGAGAAAGAGGGATGTCCTCCATGGTGTAAATGAGAACAGCATATTACAAAACAGGATGGACCATGTAAATGTGGGCATCTGTGTGTGTTTGTAAACGTGGGCATTTTTTTCCCCCAGTGGCTATAATGCTGTTTATTTTTTATGAGGATATGTAGTCAGATTAAGCACAGGTTAATAAAGCCAGTTTGTTCTTTTCAAAGCAAAGCAAAAGCCCCGTAGACTTTTTATTTATTTATTTACTTTTTAATTGGAGGAAGTGTAGGCATCTGTGTATCCCAAAGAATATTTAACTAAATACCAGCAGCTGCTGTCTCCGGGTAGTGTGGGTTTTGGGGTGATTCTCTGTTTTACTTTTATTCTTTCTTGGATTTTTAATTCTTTAAATTCTTTTCCTTTTAGAGGGCATAGGTTACTATTGTCCTGGGGGAGGGGCAGCACAACAAAGCAAAAGCCATTTGATTCTAAAAAGAAGAAACGTATAGGGTGGGGAAGATATGGGGGGGCGGTACTCAGAAGGGGCAGCCTGCCCTGCCCCTCACCCCACTCCCCAACACGGCCCTGTGTGCTTGTGTGTTGCAGACTCCGACAGCCAGTGCAGCCCCACGCGGCAGAGCCTCAGCCTGTCGGAGGGCGAGGAGCAAATGGACCGGCTGCAGCAGGTGGAGCTGGTCAGGACCACGCCCATGTCCCACTGGAAGGCGGGTACGGTCCAGGCCTGGCTGGAGGTAGTCATGGCCATGCCCATGTACGTCAAGGCCTGCGCGGAGAACGTCAAGAGTGGGAAGGTAGGACCCCCGTGGGGGTCCCCACCCCCTCCCATCCCGTCCTCAGGGTTACAGGAGCTGGCTGAACCGACTTCATGCTCCAGTGACTCCAGTAAATCATTGTCTCTCCAACAAGGCACATAGCTCTTCTGAGCCTCAGCTTCCTCATCTTTAAAATGGGACTAATTTCCCCTTACCTGACGAGGGAGGCAGGGCTGGACTTGAGCACCTTTTCAGCCCGTTCGGGGATTCCACCGCCTCCCGGAGCAGCAGTCCTCTGGCGAGGCGCCTGCAGAGCTCTTCCCATTGCTCTTCCCGGACCGCGGGGAGGGATTCCTTGGGTCCCCGCTCCCACGCGTCCCTTCGGCGCTCAATCCCCACTTCCTGGGCGCAGGTGCTGCTGAGCCTGAGCGACGAGGACCTGGAGCTGGGCCTGGGCGTGTGTAGCTCGCTGCACCGGCGCAAGCTCCGGCTGGCCATCGAGGACTACCGCGACGCCGAGGCGGGCAGGAGGTGAGCCGGCGCCCTGGCCCCAGGGAGCTGAGAGCTGAGCCGGAGACGGCGCCTCAGGGTCACACGGGTGAGGGGGCGGGCGCTGTGGGTGGGGCCAGGTGAGGAGTGCCAGGTCCTGGGACTCCAGTGGGCCGTGCTCTGGGCGGGCCCTCCCTGTAGAAAGATGGAGAACAAACTCAGTGCGCCTCCTGGAGCCCTAGGATCGTCCCATTGCGGGAGTTGGGGGTCTTCAGGGGCAACCCAGAACTCCGGAGTCGGGGGTCTTCGGGGGCAACCCAGAACTCCTCTAACTCCGAGGGTGGGCCAGTCCTGGTGGACCTGGGAAATTTGGCCAAGATGTTTGTTCTGCCTACTCCCACCTCAAACCCCAGTTCTTAACATTCCAAGTAAGAGACAGCCTACAGGCTGGGAGGACGAAAAGAAATGGGCCTGATTTGGAGCCAGGTGCGAGGGGGTGTTTGAGGGCCCGGAGGAAGGTGCATCTATCAGCAAGCACACCTGGGAAGAGCTGACTATCCGCCCATCAAGTGTGTCCCCAGCGATGCCACCCTCCTGCCCCCAGCTCCTCCCGGCCTCTCTCCTGACCTTTGTGAGCAGGACTTATTGGGGAGCCCCTCATTCACCAAGCAGCTCCAGGGAAAAGGAAAGGAGCCCCCTACCCAATCCTCAGCATACAGAAGGGGAAGAAAACTAGCTGGTAAATCTGACATTTTCTGTTTTGCATAATTATCTCCTTCACTGGTTTCCCCATCATTTTTGTGCAGTTAATTAATCAAACCTGGTGGTGTGTGCTATTATTTGCAGAAGCAGCTTTGTGGATTAAAAATAAGAGGGGGTTGGGGGTAGGAAGGCAGGCTGGTTTAGAAGCCGTAAAAGCAAATTGCTGGGTGTCCCAGAGAATGATTCTGAGGTGGCAGGAAAAGAGATGAGATGGGATCTGAAACTCGGGCAGTAACTCCCAGCCAAGCCAAGTAAGAAGGCCATGGTCCTTATCAGAAGATCTGGACCCTCCTAAAACTATGGTGAGCTTGCACCTCCTCTGAGCTTCCCCTCCTGAGTGTCCCACAAGCACCTAGCATTCACCACAGACCCTTACCCAGTGCCTGCCCCCAGGCCCCAAAGGCTCACCACCCTGGATCCCCCAAGCTGAAAACCCACCCCCAACCCCAACACGGTCACTATTACTTGGGCAGGGTGGTGCTGCCTGTCTCACCTCTCAAAAATGTGGGATTGCTGCCCAAGTTCCCCCCCAAATCCAGCTGACCCCTGAGAACCTCCCAGTGTGAGAAAAGGATTGGAGTCAACTCAGCAGCCAGATGTGAACAGACTTTAAACATTTCTAAGAAACCTAAGCAGGACTGTTTCCCAAAACCAGGGCCTAGGTAGTGGACACCCAGGGCCTCCTGGAGCAGGGAGGAAGAAGCCTTCATCTAATGGCTCTGCTCTCTGCAGAATCCTGGTCTGTCTGTGACTTGCCCTGTGACCTTGTGCTCTGTAGAACTTGGTTTCTCCACCTGCGAAGTGAAGGGGATTAAATTAGGACAGTGGCTCTTTAACCTTGGGCGATCATGGCCTATTTGAGAACCTAATGAAAACTTCTGAAACTTTCCCCAGAAGAAATACAAAAACTTCACAACCTTGCATTCTGGGACTCTCTAACCCATCCATGCAACTTTGAGGTGTCTGTGAACTCTAGGGTAAGGACCCCAGTGAGGTCATCTTTGAGAACACATCCTGTGTGACTCTAGGCATGACATTACCCTCTCTGGGCCTGGTTCCCCTTATCTCTAAAATTTATTGTTGTTGTTTAGTTGCTAAGTTGTGACTGATTCTTTGCGCCTTCATGGACTGTAGCCTGCCAGGCTCCTCTGTCCATGAGATTTCCCTGATAAGAATATTGGAGTGGGTTGCCATTTCCTTCTCCAGGGGAATTTTCCAACCCAGGGATCGAACCTACGTCTCCTGCATTGGCAGGTGGATTCTTTACCACTGAGCCACCAGGGAAGACCCTATCTCTAAAATACTAATGACAAAAATCCACCAACCCCTCCCAACCTATTACTCATTGCTTTATGGACATTATTTTATTTGACCACCACGACATCAAGACAGGATAGATATGCTTAGCCCCCTTTTAAAGATGGAGAAAATGAGGCCAGAGAAATAATGGGCACAAAGTCATACTACAGAAGATCCGACTTCAAAGTCAATTTCCTTTCCACTCTCCCAAGGCACCTTTGTGTTAAAAACATCAATGATGTATTAATAGCTCCTGCCACTATTCTTTCTGGAACACCAAATTCATCCCAGACCCAGTGCTAAGGGCTTTACCCTCTCTTACCTCTTTAAGTCCTGGAGGAAAGCAGGAGTATTTATAGAGGGGGAAATTGGGGTGCAGTGTCTCAGATCTAAGGGTGATGGAGCCAGAAAGGCCTCATATTTTTTATGCTGAATAATGACTCAAATGACTTCAAAATTCTGTGCCCAAACTCACATTTCAAGATCTGATCTGTTCCCTGTTTGGGGAATATCAGTGTCAAATTTTATAAAATGTTTGAATTACTTTTAAAGTCATCCTGTTTTATTCACCTTCGGCACTTACAGTAGCTCATACCAACAGCTGGGAAAGTGTTGCCAAGCCGAGGCCCCATGGGGACAACTTTAATGAAAAGAGAACTGTTTGGAAGGGCAGGCATGCATTAATTATCAGCATGCAGCTGGATATTGCTGATTATAAACGGACCTCTCAAATAGGTTAAGCAAGGTGCCTCCTTCCACCCTGCGCCCCACATCCCGATGCACCACTGATTTGCTGAGCAGACCCTTCCTTCAGAGGGAAAAGAAGTCTTCTAGTCCCTATCAAAGGCACAACAGCATATGATTCAGAGGCCACAAACTTCATCCCCTTCCCTGGGCAAGAAACCAACAACAGCTGGGCCTGGGAAGGGTCCCTGTAAAAGGAATGAGGCTGCAGCGGGTCACTCTAGCACCTTCCCATCTTCGAAGGGAGCTTGTTTTGGCCAGAAGATTCCAGCTTGGGAGCCAGGTTTTGGGGGGCTTCCTGGAAGACTGGAGCTGGTGTCCCCGTCACCTGGGCTTGCTATCTTCCTTGCATGCATGCCACCGTTTCAGTCGTATCTGACTCTGTAAGACCCTATGGACTGTAGCCCGCCAGGTTCCTCTGTCCATGGGATTTTCCAGGCAAGAATCTGGAGTGCATTGCTGTGCCCTCCTCCAGGGCATCTTCCTGACCCAGGGATTGAACCTGCAACTCTTACGTCTAACCTGCATTGGCAGATGGCTTCTTTACCACTAGAGTGACCTGGGAAGCCCTCTGGGGCCTTAGCCGGGTGGAGAGCCACAGGCACCGTCCCCAGTCCTGCCGTCTGGAAACCAATGGTCCAGTGGGCCACTGGCCTGATGAGCAGCGACTACCCAGCGTGACAGTGCGAGGGCTCCACAGAGACTCTGGGCACCAGGAGGGTCCTGACCTAGCACAGGGGTCCTAAGGCTTTAGGAAGAGCCGCATCTCAGCAGAGTCTCGCAGGAGTTAAGCAGAGGAAGAGGGTGGGATGGGAGGCCTGGAGGTGGGGAGGTCCTGGCTCTTCGGGGACAGATTCAGAGGTTCTGGGAGGCTGAGGGGCAAGAGGAAGGGAGCAAAGCCAGGAGCCCACCTTCCTGCTCTCGGTCCGTCTTCCAATGAAGTGTCTGCTACTATGCGTGCAGCATCAGGCTGACTCAGCCTGGAGAACAGTCCCTGTGCTCAGATAATTCATTTGTAAAGTTCCACGTGTGATGGGACTCTGAAGGGAATTCTTAAAGAGGCAGAGCAAACACGTCAGGGAGCAAGCTCAGACAGCACAGAGCCAGCCTCTGCAAAATGGGAGCTGACGCCTAGGAGAGGAGGAGAGAGCCCAGGCGGGGCTGGAAGAAAATGGGTGCCTGAGAGGCAGGGACCCCCACCATCTGAGGACAAACACAGTGCATCCCGGAAGTGCTCCCAGCTTCCCAGGGAGGGGGAGCCTGCACCCTGTGAGGTCACCCCGAGGACTTCTGATTTTATCTCTGCAAAGGGGCACCATGGGAGAGTTTCTTTATTTAAATCTACTGTTCCTTTTTCCTCTTTTATGGACTTTTTATTTTTTGACCACTTTGTGTGTGTGTGTGTGTGTGTGTGTGGGATAGGGATCTTAGTTCACTGACCAGGGGTTGAGCCCATGCTGCGGTGGAAGCACGGAGTCCTAACCACTGGACCACCAGGGAATTCTGTTACTGACTTTTCATTGAATGTTGAGCTATACTTCTTTTATTTTTAATTATTGCTCTATAATTTACAATATACACACTTAACACTATCTTCAAATAATATTATACAACTTTGCGTGTAGTATAACATGCTTTTTTCCTCCTGCTGTCATTTACACACACACATACATATATGCCATAATACATTATTTTTTTTTAAACTGGCCGTTACCTTTTAAGATTGGCAAATAAGGAAAATATTTACCAAGATAATTTACCATTTCCAGTCTTCTTCTTCAAAAAAAGTTTTATTGTGGTAAAATACCCGTAAAATGTACCACCTTAATAATTTTTTAGAGTACAGTTCAGCAGTGTTACTTTACCGGCTTCCCTGGTAGCTCAGCTGGTAAAGAATCCGCCTGCAATGCAGGAGACTCCGATTCAATTCCTGGGTCAGGAAGATCCACTGGAGAAGGGATAAGCTACCCACTCCAGTATTCTTGGGCTTCCCTTGTGGCTCAGGTGGTAAAGAATCCTCCTGCAATGTGGGAGACCTGGGTTCAATCCCTGGGTTGGGAAGAGCTCCTGAAGAAGGGAATGGCTACCCACTCCAGTATTCTGGCCTGGTGAATTCCATGGACTGTATAGTCCAGGGGGTCGCAAAGAGTCGGACGCGACTGAGGGGCTTTCACTCACTCACTCAGCGGTGTTAAGTACATTCACATTGTTGTGCAGCCATCGCCACCATCCATTCC